CAGGAAATATGAAAGTTGCAAAGGATTGAGCTGATTCAGCATCCATAACATGGAGTAAAGGGCAAATAAAGCCCTGATGGTCTTCCAGATGAGTTCCCAAAGAAAAAATAATTGTACTTTTGTGATTATTATCCTTATGCAAAACACTAAGTTGTTTATTTTACAGTTGTAACACTAAAAGAAAGCAGACTGTCATGAAGGCTTCTCACAATTGAAGTGAAATAAGTCTACAATATGTCAACAAAGCGCCACAAAAAGTGCTGTTATTGCATTCAAATGGTTTATTCTTTTATTACTCATAAGAGTAGTTGAACTCAAGTCAATATACTCAAAGTCAGCTCTCAAAACGTAAAGGGATAGTTCCTGCAAAAATGAAAATTTACTTACTATTTACTCAACGGTTCAAAACACAGTTATTTAGCTTACCCCAATGGAAGATTGCCCAGTGGCAAAAGTCTGTGAATATAACCAGCTTCTAATAGTAAAAGTGTATTTATTCTATTGTTTATCACACTTAATAAAAAACAGTCAGTAGAAACCCTCAGATTGACATTCTCACTTTGTACGTATCATCAGAAAAGGAAAGCCCCGCCCATTAGTGACAATCTCACTAGTTAAGCCTTTAAATGTCACTTTAAGCTGTATAGAAGTGTCTTGAAAAATATCTAGTCAAATATTATTTACTGTCATCATGGCAGAGATAAAATAAATCAGTTATTAAATAAGAAATGAGTTATTAAAACTATTATGTTTAGAAATGTGCTGATTTTTTTTTCTTTCCATTAAAGAGAAATTGGGAAAAAAATAAACAGGGGGGCTAATAGTTCTGACTTCAACTGTACATGACGAGCTATTTAGACAAACTGGTTGTGGCGGCTAAGCCCTCCACATGGAGGTAAGCGGTTAGCCGGTAAGCGCCAAAAAGAACGGCGTCATACTGCCCCGTAGCTATCGCTTAAAAAATGAAATGCAGTCATACGTACCTCCGGCTCCATAATTCGTGGTCTCCAGAAACGTCTGCGGGACTACATTTTCAGAATGAGCCTGTGCTGACATTAAGGTAGCGTTCAGAAAAACAAAATACCAGCAACGAAACTCGACCCAGGAACATAAAATCATATAACATGTAAACCAGCCTTTAGTGAGTATTTACGATACATGAAACAAAACTAAACACAACAAAAACATGCACGTTCACTGTCAGACATTTTAACATATAGATGAAAGAAACTAGCTAAAAGTGTGTTATAGCTCAAATTAAATTGTAAACTAAACCCACAAGACCAAAGGTGCCCAACAGTTCTCACAGGCCTGCAGGTTTTCTCTGTATATCTGTCAAATAAGTTTCAGCTGTTTCACGAAGCCAGCAAACAAGATTGCTTTAATAAAACAGGTCATATTGTCTGCTCGGTTTACATTCAGGCTGAATGTGTAAAGTGCTGCCTATCACAGTAAACCACTTGGCCAGAAAAGTGCTGAGTCTGACGGATTCAACATGAGGGAGTTCAACATCCTCCAGTAACTGATTGGACCATAGGGTGAGACAGGAAATACGAGCAATAAAAAAGAACAGTTGTCAAGAGATTCAAACCTTACACTCTACCAAATACTGTACTCTACAATTGCTATTGTTTTCCATCCAAAATGGCCTGCACTTAATCTGTTCGCTACCTCATCCTTTGTAAACTCATCTGCCAAAGTGATTTCATTCCTATTATAAACACAGAAACAAGGACGAGCCAGCGCTAATTAAGTCTGACAAATGTTTTTGTCATTATGCACAGGATTCATGATCTAATGATACGCAAAGTTAGATGCTTTCCACTCATTAAGTGAAGTTTATTTATAAACTAATTTCGAGAGGATCACGTGCTTATAATTGCTTGCAGGCGGCCTTACATTATTCAATTTATGATTCACCAATCAGACGATTCCTAAGTCATTATAAATACCCTAAGTTCCATATAACAGCCATCTTTGTTTTGAAGAATCCCCCCTTCCACCCCTACTCCTCCTCCTTTCCTAGATGGGTGGCATGGTTAGCACTGTTGCTTCAAAGCAAGAACGTCACAAGTTCTAGTCCTTACCAAGCCAGTCGACATTTCTTTGTGGAGTTTTCACGTTCTCCCCATGCTCACATGAGTTTCCCCCCAGGTTCCTCCCACCGTCCAAAAACATGCAACTTAAATTAATTAACTAATCCAAATCGGCACCATAGGCATGCTCTGAGTAAGTGGTTATCTCTTAAGAGCAATCACTATCTGTTCATTAGCTACAGCAGGTGAGTTCTCGAGATCTACCTGAGCTCAAACTCCCCTCTAGGCTTGCAAACAGGAGGGAGCCCCGGGCTTGAGGATCTTATGAGCGCAGGGCTCATTATGGGGTATTGTGTGAAAAATGTTGAGGAAATAAATCAATTAATCCATTTTGGAATAAGACTGTAACATAAAAATGTGAAAAAAGAGAAGCGCTATGAATACTTTCCGGATGCGCTGTATAAATTTCCTCACCAAATGTGCATAAAAAACTTGCTTGTATAAATCATGATCAAGATTCCTGACACTTAGGAAAATTGTGTTTGATAAAATGATGCACCTGTAAAAAACGAACGATTTGCTTTGAACGATTTAAAGCTGCAATGTAAATTTTCGCACTTATTTTATTTGATTTTTTTCTGTGTGCTTTTGGACATTTACTGACACCTGTAGGCATGGATGTTTAAAGGTAGTTCAGTAACTGTTGTTTATCTTTTGTTTAGTCTGTGACCTTGGAGCCGCAGATTGTTGTGGTTTGTTTGTGCTCTTATTTGGGAATTTATAGTCCAACTCTAATTGTGTTTGGACTGGATTGCAGAAATGCTGATGCAAAGCCTTTCTAAAGTAGCATGTACAGGGTTTACAATTTTACTTAAAAAAGAGCCAAATGCAAGTAAAAATCAATGTTGATGAGCATTTTTGGTCACACTTTATTTTGATGGTCCGTTTGTTGAGTTAAGTTACCTTGCATTTACATGTCAACTAATTCTCATTAGATTATAAGTAGATTGTTAGATTTGGGGTTGGGGTTAGTGTAAGTTGACATGTACTAGCAAAGTTTCTTATGAGAGTTAAATGTCTGCGATGTCTTGTAAGTTAAATGTCTGTTGATTTTTTTGTTGGTTGCCAAAATAAAAGCTCTATAGTTCACTGTTTAAGCGCCAAGACAATCATCCATTATTTTGATTGTTTCGTAATTGTATAATAATAATAATAATAATAATAATAATAATAATAACAATAATAATAATTAAATAAATTAATTAAATAATTAAATAAAAGAATAAAAATTTAAAAGTGCTGCTTTCTTTTGTAAAATATTTATAATTTTAAATAAATAAATAAATAAATAAATGCATTTCCCAAATTTGTTCTATTTGCTTAGTAATCATATAATGAATATGCAATAAATTGATAGTTTTGTTAATTGATTAATTGATAGTATGTTAATTCAAGGCGGCATAGTGTCTCAGTGGTTAGCACTGTCGCCTCACAGCAAAAAGGTCGCTTTCTTTGCCATTCCAGATGACTTTATTAATAAGTGATTTGATGGAGTCAGACACAATATTCATTCTGTTTCCACTGCAGCAGGACTTTATTTTCTATACTGGACATTATTTCTGTTAAGTAACAAGACTTTAGACTAAGCAAAGTCAGACCTTACTGTCCTAATAAAATAATTAAAAATCAAGGCTTGATCATATTTTATTTTAGTAAATTAAGCATAATCTAGAGGCCTTTGCCTTTCATATAAGCCACTGATACCAAATGATCAACTAGAAGATGAGTTATTTGCTGTTCCTAAAACCTGGATAGGCGACAAGACTTTTGTCAGGTCCTTTAAAATATGGACCATATTGCAATATTATCAATCTTTTGCAAGAAATGACAAGTCATATGATCTCGGCATGATGGCAGTGCCCATGAGGGGGCGACACTCAATGCAAACTAAGGTAAAGTTGGTTTTATATTCGCACATTTGTTCATTTTTGAACAGTGACAACTTGTGACACGGCCTCTATATTGTTTATTATGCCAGCTTGAACATTCAGTCTGAAATCGCATGTAAATATGACTTCAAAACAACATATTTAGCTGACTGTAAACAATGCTACACTTTGAGAGTCGTTGGCTGCTTATATGACTTTATTCATTCATCAATTTTCTTTTCGGCTTAGTCCCTTTATTAATCGGCATAAACCCAATTATTAATCGAGTATAAATCCAACTTAACCTCACGTTACATAACATGACGTCTCCATGAGGGGGCGACCCTCAATGTAAAAGAATCTTCATCTTTTCATTTTTGATTTCCTTTCATAAGCCATAAAGTTATTCTTTAACCCCCTTATTTAATGCACAAAACGACAAACTGCACCTTTAAAGGTCAGGTGAAGTGCTCTGGAATGTGCATTTTAATCATGTTTGACGTAATCTCAACTGAAAAAAAAAGTGAGGGCGGGACATAGTGTAGCTCCTCCCCTTTAAAAACAGCCAATAGTGTTGTATTATCACCACTCTGCCAGTGAGAGTGGTTGAGCCCAAGCACATGAAATGTGATGCGTCTTGAAGGGGGCGGGGCATGTTAGACAATAGAAAGCATTTGATTGGCCAGAAGATTTGATGAGAAACTGAAGTATGAGGTGACATTCATTCATTTTCTTGTCGGCTTAGTCACTTTATTAATCCAGGGTCGCCACAGCGGAATGAACCGCCAACTTATCCAGCACGTTTTTATGCAGCGGATGCACTTCCAGCCGCAACCCATATCTGGGAAATGAGATGACATCAAAACAATAATTGACTTATTTAGGCACAAGTGACAAACTGCTACCTTTTGGATGTTTATATCTTCTAAATGTGTATTTTGTCACTGTTTTGGAGCACACTGGCTAATATATATATCCTACAAAAATACTAACATCTTAAACTTTATTATAATTTCATGCGACCTTTGAATCTTACCTCAGAAAGAAATAGTAGGAGTTATTCTCCATGACGCTGTATGAGTAGCAGGGGAAATACCCCAGCCCGCTGACGTTGAACCTGGATCCGGCGGGCACCTCCAGCATGCTGCCCCACGCCTGGTCGCACAGCAGCTCGATCTCCGCGGAGAAGAACAGATCCGTGTCGTACTGCCACGGCAGGAAATTATAAACGCTGTAAGACTCCTTATGGAGGGCGAGCACCTTGGCAAACACGATGATCTCCGCCAGCTCTGCGCGGCACGCTTCCGTCTGAGGTCTCCAGTCGTGGGGCAGCTGGCATGCCCATGATGCGCTGAGGAAAAGCACTAAAATTAACGCCACTGATGTACCCATGACGCGCAGCTTTGCAAACAGCCTCTAGCAAATGCAACTCCACTCTGATAAACCTCTAAAAGTGATTCATCCAGCTCGAACGCACAGCCTTCACCTTGTAGAAGTTGTAGATTTCCAAGATAGCTAAGTGTTGGTCTTATCTGCAATGCATGTCTGTGGATTTAGTCTGATCTATAGGTCTTGTTGCTCTGCATTCTTCCCCCGTGCGCTCTGTGCATTACGCGCAGCGGTTTGTGGAGAGACTTCAGTGACGCTCAGCTCTTTTTTACAGACCTGCAGGAGAAAACAATCGCGATTGCATTGTTTCTTCCAGTCCCTTTTCGAATGCAAGTAATTATTTGTTAATATAACTAATATACCAGAGGACTACACTATGATTTTTTTTACTTTTGTGCATTGAAAAAAAGGATTCATTGGGTTTAGAATTTTATTTAAGGTTAGAGGTTGCAAATCATTTAAATGGGCTGATTTTAAACAAACAAATTAGCTGAACATTACTCAATATGATTTATTTGTTTAAATTCAACATATGAATTAATTGCAACCACTTACCTTAAGAAAATATGTAAATCTAATCATTTTTGTTTCAGTGTGGGAAGCATTTTATTCTCGAACATTCAACTCAAATTCGCAGCCTTCTTGTAATTGAAATTGATGTATTTTTTTTTAAATGTCTTAGACTGATTAAAAGAAGGAAAGTGATAGATTCTTAAAATATTATAATGATTTTTTTAAATATCACTGATGCATAAGTCTTTTGTGGTATTTATTTATTTTATTTATTCACTTTTACTGTCATATATATATATATATATATATATATATATATATATTTATATATATATATATATATATATGATCTTTATATCTTGCTCTGTTAAATAACTATCATTATTGTTATCATCAGTGTCATTTCCATGTGTAGGCTTGATTTTTGTATGTTTTTGATTAAAAAATCAATAAAAAAAGAAAGAAAACTTCCATCTCACCTGAATAAAGCAGACTCAGAGAAAACAATCCTGCTGAAAAATCCAGCTTAAACCAGCCTAGGATAGTTGGCTGGTTTTAGCTGGTCGACCAGCGGGTTTTGGCCACCTCCAGGCTAGTTTCCAGCCATTTCTGTTTGTTTTAATCCACACAAACGCAAGGAGAACATGCAAACTCCACACAGAAAAGCCAGCTGACCCAGCCGAGGCTTGAACCAGCGACCTTCTTGCTGTGAGGCGACAGCACTACCTACTGCACCACTGCATTGCAAACATGTAATCAATCATATTAATTTATATTAGATTCATTTTAAAATGCTTCCAGACTAAACACATGCGCAATTTCACATCTTTAGTTCATTTGGATTTCACGCTTGCTGTGATGAAACAACGACAGACAGATATGGTAAAAGCTATCAAATAAATAAAAATGTAGCCATTTTCAGATTATCCTGCTTTGAAAATAATCATCAACACGTGGATGATTAAGAGGTGTCACTTTCAGAATCTACAGTATTGGTGAAAGACGGCATAACACACATATTTTGTTTCCACAAAGATTTGACTTTTTTTCATCATATATATATTGTTAGATGTAAATAAAAAAAACAAATGTAAAACACATTCATATGACTTAAAAATGCCTGTAAAAATTACATTGTTTTGCATCATTCATCTTATCATCATTAGAGATGTAAAAGATCTTTAGAAAAAGCTTTAGAAATGACGTCATACATTTTTTCATATTGGTAAATCTCAGTTGTTTTATTTCTTATTTAATTAATGAATTAAAATACAGAAAACATTTAATAGAAACGAATATGTTAATTTGATCTCTGGGGCAGCACGGTGGCACAGGGGGTTGGGCTCTCGCCTTCCAGCAAGATGGGTGATGGTTCAAGCCTCGGCTGGGTCGGTTGGCATTTCTGTATATGGAGTTTGAATGTTCTCCATGTGTTCGTGTGGGTTTCCTTCGGGTGCTCCGGACATGTCCAAAGACATGTGCTATAGGTGAATTGAGTCAGCTAAATTGTCCGTAGTGTATGTGTGTGAATGGAAGTGCATGGGTGTTTCCCAGTGATGGGTTGCAGCTGAAAGGGCATCCGCTGTGTAAAACATATGCTGGATAAGTTGGCGGTTCATTCCGCTGTGGCAATCCCAGATTAATAAAGGGATTAAAAAAATGAATGAATTAATTTTATCTCTGCACAATGTAGCTTTTGAGGATCTTTTGGTCTACTTCACTTTGTCAGACTGGCCATATTTAAATGATTTCTTGATTGTGAACAGGTGTGGCAGTAATCAGGCCTCGGTGTGGCTAGAGAAATTGAACTCAGGTGTGATAAACCTAACCCAAGCTTATTCTGAAAACGTAGCCCTATATGCATTTCTGGAGAGCACCAATATGTTCCAGGAGCTATGTTTTTTGCAGTTTTTGCGAATCCACCAGAGGGCGCTGTGTATGCTTTTTGAGATCGATCGACTGACTCACCCTCCTCCTTTCCTAAACTCAACCCATAGTGTTTTAAAAAGCACTGATTGACCAGCGCCCATCACTTCCCTAAACCCAACCAACAGTGTTTTTTCAAAAGCAATCAAGAAAAAGAAAAGCCCTCGCCTAATTTTTGACATTTTCAAATTTTTGCCACATTCTCACCCAGTGGTTGACTTATTTTATTTTTTTCCCTTTTGTTTTTGTCTTATCTGGGGTCTGTTCTTCGTACGAGGATTACTCAGTTAGCTGGATTTGTTTATTGACGATTTGACACGATTCAGGATCGTTTCGTTCTTCAAATCTGATCCGAGAGTTGTTGTCATAGCATTCTGGTGGCTCAAACCTGGTCGGGAGCAAGCTCAATTCATATAAACAGGACCACATTAGGTCAGTTCAAGCAAAGAAAATACTGAAAGTATGTACCGAATTCTGATGTTTTCTTACAGTAGTAGTTATATACACTTGGGAAAATAGTAGCTATTTTTATTTTTAACTATATATATATATATATATATATATATATATATATATATATATATATATATATATATATATATATATATATATATAAAACTTTGCAATCTGCACCCCCGAAATGAAAGTACAAAGACTGCCACCTGGTGGTGCAAAGAGAAAACATATTGATATGTACTTTTTAGATTGCTTTAGTACGATTTGTGTATAATAATAGACTTGCACAATATGTGCCTTTTTTTAAAAGCAATAATACATTTATGTAGTTATAAACATGTTTGGACAGCTAATATGAATGTGATTTGATGCTTCACAAAAGTTGCAGACGCCTTTACCAATATCAAAATGCTTTTGTAAACAACCAGTTATGCTTTACACCCATTAAAAAAACGGCTACTATAATACTACTATGGCTACTACAATAAGGAAAATCCGCTCTAACTGTAAAACTAAATAAACTGCTCTTGACACACAAGGCCACAAAAAGGTATAAAGTTATTGCGTGTCATATTTAACAAACCGTTTACTACTAATTTGATGTAATTTTGCTCACATGGATAATTGAATATTAATCAGATGATGTCATTATGCTGTGCCGTCAGCCAATCGCTGCATTGCTGATCATGATTTCGAGGATCAATAGATCTGTCCTTTACAACACAAGCAGTGATCTCAGATCAGCTCATCCAGACATTTTAATCTGATCCGCGAACTTGTTTGAAGAACCAAATTAGCCAGTGGTCAGTTATCAAGATTAAAAGATCCAGGATCTGCCAAATCATCTTAGATTATTTAAGCGAGGTACGAAGAACGGACCCCTGCTTTCTGGAACCGTTCTTTACCAGACTCAAACCCTGTCGTAGTGGTCAACTCCTCTCTGTGTCTCAAGTCTGCATGCCGACATACATGGCGAGCTACTGGACAAACTGGTAACAGCGGCAAAGCCGTCCACATGGAGGTAATCGGTCAGCTGGTAAGTGTAAAAAGTCCATACCGCCCTATAGCGTTCATTTGAATCTGATCTGCAGAAATCTACTCTATTTAGGGCTTCGTTTTTAAGAATGAGTCCATGTTGGATAAACCAGAGTTAAGTTATATTTAAAAACATTTTCACACATGGCTAGTGAATTTTGTATTTTGCTTTTCCTTAATGATAAAAACCTTTATTTTTATGATGTGTTTACTTTGTTTTTTTGACTAATCATTACATTTGATTGATGATCTGAAACATAAAGAAATCAGTAAGGGGGTAAACACTTTTTCACACTGTATTTATTTACGGTGTATTGTCTGTAATCAAGTCCCACAATGAAAAGCATTTTCTGCTTTTAAGATTTTTTACCAACCCCAAAAAGGCTGTCTAAAGTCATTAACAAGCACACATGTTTTGCTAAGGGTGAGTAATAGCTGTGTTCCAACACACTTTAGCCCTTTGTTTACGTGCCGAAATAAGGATAATAAACCGTTTGCTCATGCACGAGGTTAAGGGTTAAGAATAAACATCTCAAAGCCGACAGGTTAGTGCGCCCTCAAGCAAATCATTATTGCATGACATGTAATGGCGCGCAGAACATTAATCACTCTACGGGACAGCACAAACCCGGAGGAACTGCATTTCTGAGTTCCCCTATTGCAGGCTTATTGAGGTAGTGCTTGCAGCAACTCTGTGAGGAGGAGGAGATGCTTTTAGGTGTCATAAAAATGACATGTTTCTGAAATCGTCTTCATACTTCAGAATCCATGAGCTGAAGGGGCTGTCTCAAAATCTAGGAGAAGGCTTTCTGTGGAGTTCATCTTTATTTCTATAGCACTTTTACAATGTAGATTGTGTCAAAGCAGATTAACATAGAAGATTATAATGAGTTGAAACTGTGTCAGTCCAGTTTTCAGAGTTGAAGTTGAGTTTAGTTCAAAGTTTTTAATTTTCACTGCTGAAAGTCCAAACAATGAAGAGCAAATCCACGAATGTGCAAGTCCTGAACCATGCAAAGCCAGTGGAGACAGCGACGAGGAACAAACTTCACCAATTGACGAAAGTGAAGGAAAAAAAAAAACCTTGAGAGAAACACTGCAACAAATGCTTTTCTTACTTAGAATTTTGGTCTGGTTTCTAGTCCAAATATCTAAAAGTTCTTAAATCAAGAAGCATTTTCCAGACAAGCAGAACATATTGTTTTGTTTTAAGAAATAATATGCCAAAATTAAGTAGGTTTTTCCCTAAAAGAAGCAAAATAATCTGCCAAAGGGCGGGGCCAGACCGACTCTGCGGACGTTTTTTGC